AACTTAGTGCAAATTTCTCTCATCCAATCATTATTAAGATTCAAAGCATTGTTTGAAACGATTCTCTCTAGTGTTCAATATTTACAAATGATTTCTTTCTTTATGAATCTGCATACTATCCCTTTGGTTACACTAGCATATGATGTATCTTCAACCCATTTGATGAAATATTCGATGGCCACTAAGATGAATTGGTGTCCATTGGCAGCCTTTGGTGTGATTGGTCCAATGATATCCATTCCTCACATTGAGAAAGGCCAAGGTATGGTCATTACATATACGGGTTAAAGAGGCACATGAATTTTATCACCATAGCTATAAACTTTATGGCATTTACAGGCATAGTTGATATAATCCCCTTCTATTTTAGACCATTAATACTCGAATCTCATGATTTGTTTGACCATTGTGAACCAATTAGCATATGTTTAGCATATTCCTTCATGGACTTCCTCGAGTGCCTTTTTGGCCTCAGCTCTATCCAAGCATCTCAATAGAATCTGGTTTTTTTCTTTCTTGTAAAAAACTTCCCCATTGAGTACGTATCTCATAACTAATCTTCTTAAGGTTCTTTTTTCATTCTCAGCAGCTTCAGTCGAGTAAGCTTGATATTTGACATACTGAATGTCATAATTCCATGGGAGACCATCTTCTTCATCTTTCTCAATGTTACAATAATGAGTTGAGACCTCTCTTATGCTCATACGGATGAACATCATTCTAGCTTGATCATTAACTTGAATATTGAAGTCAATGTAGCTAAGACATCTGCCATTTAGTTTTCCTCATATGGGAGATAAGTAAAAGTAATTTCTCAAATTCTTTTATCAAGTATATGACTAGATATTTGTATTTTATCAACTTGGAATCTCTAGTAATCCATTCTACATGTAGCAGATAAATGACTAATGTGAGTCCTCGAATACTTCTAGGATCTTAATTTTACGGTCAATTAAAACAAATTCCCAACATACATACTTCATACTCAGCCATGTTGTTTGTACATTCGAAATAAAACCAATTAGTAAAAGGATAATGATCACTTTCAAGTGAAACCAGTACTGCCCCAATTACATGCCCCACGAAATTTGAAGCACTGTTAAAGTTCATTCTCCATATTTCATCTTTGGTGGTTTCCTCATCTTCTAAAGTAGATATGCACATTAGATCATCATTGGGGAATCTGAATTTCACTAGTTAGCAGTCTTCCAGTGCTTTGTTTGCCAAGAACTCTACAATGACACTACCCTTCATTACTTTTGGCTCACATAAATTATCAAATTCGGACAACAACATCTACCACCTAGCCATCCTTCCAATTAAAGTTGAGGATTCCATTATGTAAATGAATCCAAATTCGATATTAACCATATAGTGTGGTACAACAAGTATTACCTTAGTCTTTTGTGGTCCATACCAGGGCACAACATAACTTCTCGTTCAGGAAATATCAAGTCTTAAAGTTAATGAATTTCTTACTAAGATAATAATGGCTCGTTCCTTCCTTACAATTTCATCAAGTTCTACTAGTACACATCCCATTGAATTTTCAAATACCGCTAAGTACAGAATCAGTGGCTTTTTAGAATTGGGGGTATTGGAACTGGTGCGTTTGATAAGTAGTGCTTGACTTTATCAAAAACTTCATAACAACTGTCATCCCAAATTCCTGGGTTTTGCATTCTCAATAAGTAGAAGATTGGATCAAACTTCTCTGTTAACTGAGAGATGAACCTAGCAATATAATTCAACCTCCCTAGGAATCCTCGGACTTCTTTTAGAGGTTTTGGCAGTGGCAATTCTTGGATTGCTTTAACCTTGTCTGGATCTATCTATATCCTTTTTAACTAACTATGAACCCTAACAACTTCCCTAAAGTGGTTCCAAAGGTACACTTGGCCAGGTTAAGCTTCAATTGGTACTTCCTTAAACTCAGAAACAATTTTCTCAAAACTCTAGCATGTTCTTATTTGGTTTGTGATTTGGGAATCACGTCGTCTACATATACCTCTATTTCTTTGTGCATCATATCATGGAACAAAGTAACCATGTTTCACTGATATGTTACCCTTGTATTCTTACATCCAAATGGCACTACCTTATAACAAAATGTTCCCCCACATTGTTACAAATATTATCTTTTCTATATCTTCAAGGTTCATATTGATTTCTTTGTACCCTAAAAACCCATCCATAAAGAGAAAAGAGTATGTATAGTTTTATTGTCAATTAGGATGTCTATATGAGAAAGTGGAAAGTTGTCTTTAGGACTCGCACGATTGAGATCTCAGTAGTCGACACACATTTAGACCTTCTCGTCTTTCTTTGGAACGGGCACAATATTAGCTACCCCCTCGGGGTACTTAGACACCTGCAGGAAACCGACTTCAAATTGCTTCTTCACTTCTTCCTTTATTTTTCAACTACATGTCTGGCCTCGTTCTTCAAAGCTTCTGTTGCACTGATTTACATTTTCGTTTTATTGGTAGCTTATGTACAACGATGTCAGTATCCAAACCCGACATATCATGATATGACCAAGCGAACACATACTTGAACTCCCGTAGTAGGTTTATGAGATCATGCCTTATTTCTAAATAGACGAGGTGCCAATCTTAACCTCCTTTTTATCTTCCTTTGTTCCCAAGTTCATTGTCTCAGTCATCTCCTAACGAGGTAAAACCTGTTTATTTTCTTGTTCAATGAACCTGACAAGTTCAGGGTTCAATTCACATTCCTCATAATCCTCATAACCCTCAAACTCCTTTACACACATGTCATTTTCAAAATCAAACTTGGTTCAGAGATATCATTATTCGAACAATTGATATCTTGAGACCTGCAAATGGGTTGTTAGCTTTAATTTATTTGTTGATTGATTTCCCTCATTTTTACTGTTTTGTTGAGATGATAATGGTGAGGTGGTTGAACTGGCTGTTCATCCACAGCGACGACTTCAGAATCGACGCAAATGGCAGCGCGGGGGTGACTCTGGCGACAACAGCAGCGATAGCCCAGGTGTGGATTTCAAGAACAAACCCTAATAGCAACTGGGCTTGCTAGTTGGGCTTTGTTGGTTGTTTAACTTGATTGATGTAGACTTTGTAACCTATAAATAATAAAATAATTTTAAATATAATAATAATAATAATAATAATAATAATAATAATGATAATAATGATAATAATAATAATAATAATAATAATAATAATAAATTAAAGAGTCCGGAAAAAATTTAATATCTACAAATATCTTTTGATGAAATATTAAAATCTTATATATTTTGATTTTCCTCTTTTAACCGGTAAATCTCTGTTTTAAAAGTAGCATAAAGGGTAGAATGAAAGATGGTGGACGTCAAAAATCAGGTGATGTTAATAAAAGCATTTAAACGAGTTAGAACTTGTTCTAAAACTACGTAAGTTGGGATCGAGCTACAATCGACAAGACAAATCTTAATGCTATCTTAAAATCCAATGAATCTTAATTGTTGAACTGAAGATGAATCTTTAATTACTATTTTCTTTAACAAATGAATTGTTAGCTGATAAAGGTAAAGGCATTGGTAGTATATTTTAATAAAATCCAAAAGCAGGATAATGTGTATGAAACGTTAAAAAAGAAAGCATTGTCACAAATTTGCCTCCGACAGCACTTACAACATCTGCCATAATGTAATAAGTAATCTCTGATGTTTTGATGTTGAATCCGCCGTATGGTTCCAAAAACTTATGAATCAAATCACCCTTTTCCCATATATCTTTGCTTTATCCAATTGCAAAGGAACTAGTGTATATGAAATATGATCGTAATATTGAGATGTAATATGTTTTTTTTAGTCAAAGAATAAAACAATGAGAAGTTTATTCAATTTATAGTTAATGAGCTATCTTGTTTGATGGTGCATAATTACAGTGATCGGGTCATGTACTCATTCGTAAGTTAAATATGAGAGTTATTATTAAATTTTAATATAATTTATATGTGGTTTCCTAAAAAAAATTCTGAATCATTAATTAGTCAAGTGATCAAATTTTTATCTTGGGTAAGTTTATTTAATATATATCTTTTAAGATTTAAAAATTAAGATTTAAAAATTAATACTAAAATAAAAATATTTTATATAATTTATGTATTAAATAATTTATCATGTAATCTGTTTGTATGATTACCTAATTATGGTCGAAGACAGGCCTATCAGAGCGATGAAGATCCAATGAATTGCTCAGTTTGGTGGGCCGTCCTCAACCCTGATTTGCATGTGAGGTCGGTGAAAGGCACTGCCAACCTTTTATTGTCCTTTCCACAATTCCCACAACTACATATCGATTAATATCCACATATTTAATTTTTAATAATAAATCTACTAATTAAGGCCACTCACAAAACTCTTGAAGAGAGTGAGTGGTCTTCTAAGGTATAATTTACTAAGTAAAATTATTTAAATTTGATAATTTTTTTTCATTTAATATTTTAAAATTAGATTATTATTTAAGATTTAAATTTAATTTAAATCGAATTCTATGAAAGATAAAATTGAATGGAATGGAATTGAATTTATGTTTAAAATAAAAAAAATTTAATCTGAAATAATATTATAAAATATTTATACATTTTTATTATCTTTATTAATTTAATGAGTAAAACTATGAACAATATATCAAAATGTGATTTTAATCTTAAAATTCAAATTAAATAAATATAATTAAATTTTAAATTGAGATAAAATTAAATAAAAAATTTCAATTTTCAAATTAGAACGTCTGCAAATTAAAAGCAACTCGACTCTTTGACCATTCTAGGGTATAATCTATATTTGTAGGTAGTAATAGAGTTTCAAGAAAAGTAGAGCCCTGTCTCTATTAGACAAATTAAATAATGTGGGGAAAATTTTTAAAGTTTCTCACTATACAATATACAGCATATACAGTACGCTCTCCCTTATAAATACCTTATCATTAACTTAATATAGCCTCACAGTTCTCCTTCACACTCCTCACTCTGTTCTTTCCTTTTGAAAAAAAAAGCCATTTTTGTTCAATTGTTGTCTCCTTGCTGAATATTTTGTTTTGCTGCTTGTGAAGCTAAGGTAGGAAACTATAATGGCAAAGAAGCCGAGAATTGTGATAATTGGAGCTGGGATGGCTGGTCTTACTGCAGCTAACAAGCTCTATACTTCCACTAGCTCTAACGATTTGTTCGACTTGGTTGTTGTCGAAGGCGGCGATAGAATTGGTGGCAGAATCAACAGTTCTGAGTTTTGTGGTGACAGAATTGAGATGGGTGCTACTTGGATCCATGGAATAGGAGGTAGCCCGGTTCATCAAATTGCTCGGGAAATTCACGCTCTTGAGTCTGACCAGCCATGGGAGTGCATGGATGGGTTCTCGGACGAGCCGAAGACCATTGCTGAAGGAGGGTTCGAGCTGAATGCCTCTATCGTTGACCCCATATCCACCCTTTTCAATAACCTGATGGACTTCGCTCAAGGAAAGCTGGCTCAAGACGGTGCAGGCGGAGGGGACGCTTGTTTCTCTAATTTTGCTGCTAAAGCGGCCTCGAAAGGTTGTACGATCAACGGTCGGTTTGGTAACCAAAGTGTCGGTGCGTTTCTTAGACAAGGCTTCGATGCTTTTTGGGATTCTTGCAAGGACCGTGCGGAGCTCAGTGGGTATGGTAAATGGAGCAGGAAGTTGCTGGAAGAAGCCATTTTCGCCATGCATGAAAACACCCAGAGGACTTATACTTCAGCCGGTGATCTGTTCAATCTAGATTTCGAAGCAGAAAGGGAGTACCGCATGTTCCCTGGTGAAGAAATCACCATTTCTAAAGGTTACTTGAGCGTAATCGAACACCTTGCATCTGTTCTTCCTCCTGGTGCAATCCAATTAGGCCGCAAAGTCGCAACAATTGAATGGCAGCCTGAGAGTCATAAATCAAAAGAAATTCCAAATGGATATGATTCCAGTTGCAGACCAGTGAAGCTTCACTTTTGCGATGGATCTGTCATGTTAGCAGATCATGTGATAGTCACAGTTTCATTAGGTGTCTTAAAAGCTGGAACTGGTCAAGATTCAGGTATGTTCAACCCTCCACTTCCTTCTTTCAAGACAGAGGCTATATCAAGTCTAGGGTATGGTGTTGTTAACAAGCTGTTTCTTCAATGGAGTCCAAATGGTAATAATCGAAACGCCAATGACAAAGACAAGTTCCCTTCCCTGCAAATTGTTTTCCATCCCCCAGAATCCGAGTTAAGGCATGAAAAGATCCCATGGTGGATGAGGAGAACAGCTTCTCTGTCTCCTATTTACAAGAATTCAAGCGTCCTCCTATCATGGTTTGCCGGGAAAGAAGCTCTCGAGCTCGAAACCCTTAGCGATGAAGAGATTATAGACGGAGTTTCATCAACAGTTTCTGGTTTATCATCAGCATTAAAAGCCCACAAGGAAGTGAAGCATAATTCCCCTGAATTCTGCAATGGGAGCGCCAGAGAAGGTGGTAAAGTAAGATTTGTCAAGGTTTTGAAGAGCAAATGGGGCAGTGATCCATTATTCTTGGGATCTTACAGCTACGTTGCTGTTGGATCAAGTGGTGCTGATTTAGACACAATGGCTGAGCCATTACCAAAGACTGGGAGCTCCGAGTTAGACCGTGCTGTGGATCATCCACTTCAAATTTTGTTTGCTGGGGAAGCTACACACAGAACCCACTATTCTACAACTCATGGAGCTTACTTTAGTGGTCTTAGGGAAGCCAATAGGCTTCTGCAACACTATCATTGCCATGGGGTTTAGACTTAGCAATTTCAATTTGATTTATTTTTAAATACCCTAAACCATCTCTCTTTCTTTAACGTAAAGCAAAGGGGGTGAAAGAGAGCAAAAACGAAAAAGAAAGAATGAGGGGGTTTAATGAAATTATGGAAGAGATAGATGGAGACATTTTAAAATGTATTGGTATGAATTAAAAGAAGCTTCTTTTCAATTTTCTATAGGTATTCGCTTTGCTTTTGTGTGAGTACCCATGGATTTCCTTTATATATATCTAATATATATATATAATCTTGCTTTGATATTCAAAGCAAAACCATTTTAAGGTGGTGTTTGGCATTGAATGAGCTGTTGTTGTGTGATAGTTGGGGAGTATAAAGAACAAAGGGAGAAGCCTTGGATCCCACTGCTCATTGCTTTGGCTTTTGGCCACTGGACAGCATCCGCCAAACCTGGCTCTTTCCAGCTAGGAAGCTCTTAAATGAGCCTCCTTTTCTGGCTTTCAAACAACATTGCCAACCAAAAATAAACTCAGAATTCAGGATTTGAATTACGATCACAAACGTGTTTACGGTTTTAGTTCTGGCTGTGATTGTAGTAGTCTCCAGCTTCATGTATTAAAACAGTGCATCCCTGAGTGTGAGTTGAAGTCCATGAGCAGAGAGAATCAGAGATGCCTATTGCCATCTGATTGCTTTGATCATTGGGGTTATTGGCTATCATGGGTCCAACCCCATGCACACGTGACAGTTCAGACATACATAGAGACAGTTAACTCAGACTCTTACTAGAGAACACCAGTGGCCTACGCTTGGTATGATAGACATGGAAAATGACAGTCCATAAGCCATACAATATCAGCTTGAAAAACACCACAGATTTCTTCTGTCCAGGGTTATTTTTTTCTCTTATTATCACCATTCCATTTTCTTCACGTACCGCTTAGGTCCACCACTCCCAAATTATTTGACCCTCGTCTTACAATAACAACAACAAAAGCAAATCTACTAAGGTTTTTTCTTTTAATCTTGTTAGGATTAGGGCGAGCGAGAGCATCCAACAAACAGCAAAGCATTGTATAGTCAAATCAGTAAAGCTATTCACAGAGACTCCATTATTGTGGGTTATGAGAGATTTTGGCAGGCTCTCTCGCCGAAAAATAAACCGGGAATGCCCCACTTGCTGTCTCTTTTTGCCTCTTGTGGGCTTGAATCACCCTTTGATCATTGTGTATATCGCAGACCCCTCCTCTGTCACCGAGTCCTTGTCTGCTTCACAGACAAACAAAGAAGAATCTCCATTTCAAACATCTCACTACTAAATAAGTATATTATTTTCTTTCTTCAATAACACTCTCTTTTTTGCCTCCTGTTCATCATTATCAGTTATCATCCCTTCTTTCTTTCTTTTAAATCCTCCCATATCCGATAATCACATGAATTTTGATTATATTTGAAATTAAATCGAATCTAATCCTTAAAAGTGAGACAAAACTCGTGCAGCAGTACAATGCAGGCCAACTCAAGTTGCGTATTTGTGTCTTTAAATCGAATGCTTTCATTTGGTTTTCAGCTTTATTTTACTGTTAGATTGCTGCCCTTTCATGTTTTGTACTAAAGATTTTGCACGTATAATTTTTTTTTTCCATTTGCAAAAGCTACTAAAGTTAAATTGATCATGGCCATCATTTCGATGAGAACTATATCAAACTGCAACGTGTAGCATAAAGATTGAACTATTTTGTCCGGAAAAAGCAATCTTCAGACGTAATAGACCATAAAATCTTCAAACATACTCTGATTCAACAAAGCTGTCTAAAGGGCAAAAAATTTTCTTCAGTTTTAAAATACCAGACTGATAAATTTTTTCCATTACTTTTCAAGTAAGAAGAAACTTGGGATTTGGGAACCACTGCCACACAATATTAACTTTTTCCTTGGGGATTAAGAATCCCAGATTTTTAATTAATTTTATAGCTTTAAAATAAAAGGAGAGAGCCGTGTACTTTATTCCTTCTTTTTCTATCCTTGAGAGACCCTCTGATTTAAGAAAGTTATCATGTTGGCATCTCAAAACTTTTTTCGCTTTATAAAGTTCCCCTTGTGGTGATAACATAGCATCAAGCTTTTAACTTTAAAAACAGCAATTTGTATGTTAATAAATTTATGGGAAGGAATCTTGAGGCCTACTTATAGGGTTTATAAGGTTCTTTCCACGACTTTCCTTCATTGCCATGCCCCAAACGAACAAGTAAAATTGAATCAGTCGGAGTGATTAAAACAAGAATTAATGGTTTGATTGGTGTAATCATCATATTTTTACTCTATTGCTCAATAGTTTTCAAGAGAAAATAGAAGAATTTCCGTACATGGGATTCGAATCTTGATTATGATTTCAATAGACTTGAAATCCAGGTAATAGTAATGTCATATACCATAGGCTAACTTTTCCATAGCTAGCCACAAGATTTTCTTTCCTTATTCAATGTGACCCATCACGCATCTAATGGGCCAATTATCAGGTAACCCAATGACCTAAACCCTAAAAAATCCATAGCCCATTGAGGTCATTGGTCGAATGCTTACTAGGTGATACTTTCATCGAGACATCGACTGTATCGTTTACAAATCATCAATATTTAAATTTTTTAGTAAATAAATATGGGATTTTAAAAATAATATGGGCCGCAAATAAAAAAAAACAAAGGGGGGGGGGTTATTTTGCCCGTGAAAAGAATTGGAGGCAGCGGCACCATAACTTGTGCAGAGAAAGGAGAGGGATGGGATGTTGGAGGACCTAAATTTGGCATTAGGGAACAGTGCGAGGAAGGGGTTAAGGGGCAATGGCCCCGATCTTTGAAAGCAACAGGGTTGGACATATATACCTTACTCACCCAAATTGACCATTTTAATCTCATATAGTCCCTGTCCATCTATGTCTCCACCTCAAACCAAATCTTATAGGATCTATTATCAACCTGCCTACGTAGCCTTCTTACTTATCATAAAAATGCCATTATTATGCTATTATTTAATCTACCCAAATAAAATCTTCCATGGATCTTAGATATTCCCAAAAGGCTTCTAAAGGAAAATAACATTCGGTACATTTAGATTTTTTTTAAATAAAAGCTTCTCATTTTATTAAAATAAAAATATTTAAATTATATTAAAAGTTCACAACCATAACTGTAAACTAAAGACATTTTATTATAATCATTAAAAAACTAACAACTTAAGATGACACAATGATCATACAAGGAAAATATTAAAAACCTAACAAAATAATCTCGAATAAAATATAGATATTAACATATATGACTGCATATGTAAACAAACCACAAAGGGGATATATTATTAAAAGATCTCGACGAATCTTAAATTAGAATCAAACGACGTGGGAAAACTATCTATGAACGTAAATCGCATATCCAAATCTAATCCAAGGGTACAAAGCATGGAAGATCAACATGATAACAAATAAGTGTCATCTTGATCAGTCGTGACGATGTCAAATCTAACCATGAGAAAAAAAAAATAACAACCAAACGATCATAAACATGTTAAAAGACATAAAAAAACATATCATAAAGACATAATGATTAAAAATTAAAACACAAGAAAAAATAATATAATAATAAATACCGACAGTCGTTGACTAACATTAAAATTAATATCGTCATTATTCACAAAAATAAAGAAGAAAAAAGGAAATAAAACTAAGGTTGAAAAGAAAAACTTCGTATGTATATTTAGATTTTGATTTTAAACCATTAGTTAAACAATATTGACCATAAAAAAGTTATTATTATTTTTTTTAAAGTGAATTACCAACTTTATTGAAAGAAAATAAGAACCGTTTTCAGGAGCAAGTGAAAAACAGCAAAGCAAAAACAAAACATGTCCCTAAAACTGAATTAAACACATTCCAAAATGAGGCTAGCCTTTCATCTCTTGCTTGACAAAATGAGCTATGAAACGAACAAGCAAGAGACAAATATCTCCCGATATTAAACATGGGAACAAAGCACAACACCTCTTTATCTATGAAGGATCAAGCGCCCTTCTATCCTCTTCCACCTGGATCTCGACGCAGCTATGTCCTTCCTCAACCCAGTATCAGTCTTTCGATCCGACTCTGGTCTCAGCAGCCAGTAAATGGGCTGCCTTGTTACTCGATCTAGGAATATTCTGGAACTTGCATGCACGGAGAGATTCACTCCTCCTTCGAATTTCCTAAACTTATGCACCTATTTCAGAAAGATCATCGGCTGTGGAAGCTAACTTTCCAATTACCGCGTATAAATCGCCTTCCTGAACTATCTCTTGGAAACCCATCTTAGAAGCAAATTAGATCACGTGATTTGTCACTGACGCTTCAGCGTTTTCAGAACCGAACCGGTTAACAAACTGATCATGCTACCGATTCATTAGTTTAACCGATTGAACTGGTCTGATCGGTCAGAAGAACCGGAAGACGTCATAATTATTTAAAAAATAAAAAATAAATAAAAATATTTAATAAAAAATAATTTTTTATATTACAAGTTATATTCAAAGCAATTCATAACATATATAAGTTAAAAACCATAAAATCAAGTAAAATAAAATAATTCAAATTAACTATAACATAATATTTAAGGTAAAACATATTAAATAATAAATATAATTATATAAATTTGGGACTAAAAAATCATAACAAAATGATATTGTTTGGTTTAATTTAAAAAAAACAATCTCACATAGCTAGAAACATAGAAGAACATTCCAAAAGTCTAAAGAGTAAAAATATGAGAACAAAACAATCTCACATGGCTAAGAAATATAGAATAGCATCCCAACTAACTTCTATAAATAATAGAGGTAATTTGACATTCAAAATCATGGATCCTTTTGGTGAGCATTGAGTGAACTATTCTTTCACTTCAATCAAGCTCAAATTTTTGGCTTCAATCGAGCTTCTAAATTTTTTTTGAGTTCAAGCCTTTTTGAGTTCAAGTTTTAGTATTATATTTCGAGTTCAAGTTGAACTTGATAATTTTTAGCTCGTGAGTTTGAGTCGAGTTGAGCTTACTTTTAAAATTTTCAAGTTCGAGTCGAGCTCAGCAATACTTGAGTTCGACTTGGCTCGTTTAACAAACGATGTTATTTGGTTTAATTTTTTTTTAAAAAAAAAACAAAATTGGCGGTTTTTTTCGGTTTTCAGTCGGTCCGGTTTGA